TGTGTGTGTGTGTGTGTGTGTGTGTGTGTGTGTGTGTGTGTGTGTGTTCGCCAGAGAGCATCATGAACGACTTGTCAGCAGCAGCTCCTGTGATGGTGAAACAGGCCATCCAGGTCATAAAGGTAGCGCACACACCTGAACGCACCATATCGTGTTATAGATGGATGGATATAAAGAAGCTTTATTGATGTATTTATTCATATTTTCTTCCCTCTAGTCAATCAACACTCTGCAGAAACAAGCCGAAGGCCTCTGTGAGATCCTCGAAATGAAACCGAGTCACGCCACTCTGGAGATCCACCGAGAAGTGTTCGGCTTCGACGGCCAATCGGACGCGCCGCCGCCTCCTCCTCCTGCGAGGAGCAGGCGGCCAATCATGAGATCCGTAGAGGAGGCAGCAGCCGCGGACTGCTACGTGCCTCTCGACAAACCAGAGTGACACTTCCTGCTTCCGTGAGCACACGCCAGTGGAGACGCTGTGATGTTCTGGACTCGTACGGTTTCTTTTTTTAAACAGTAGAAAGCAGCGGTTAAAAATGACTCTTCTTCAGGTTTATTCATTTTAAACGTGCAGTAAAGGTTCCATCATGTCTCACATTTAGACATGAATAAATATTGTTGATGTTGAGACTTTACTATGATTTCACATAAACTGTTCATGGATTGATTCATGGAGCACAAGGGCCCAAAATGTTCAACAATGTTTTCATTTTAAGATTTTTCTGCCACTGAAACAGATTTTAAACAAATTCCATAAAATAACCAAAAACCAACATCCTGTGAGTCTCAATACTTTCTGACCCGTCTACTCATTCTGCACTCTTAACTGGACCATTTATGCAAAAGTCTGTAAATAACATGTTTGAATAAAAAAAAAGTCCAAAATATAAGTCCATATTCTGTTTGTGCAGAGTGTCAGATAAAGATCATTATTATACGTTTGTGTGTAGAATTATAATCCAGATGTGGCTGCGTAGGATTGTTACCAAAAGTCCAAAACTAAAATCTGTCGCTTTATTTATACGACTTCTTTTCATTAAAGAAAGTTGATTTAATGAAAGCAAACTAACTCGATCAATACGCTGAATCACTTTGTTCAAATTGAGGATTTAGTTCACGGATTTGTACTTTTTTTTTTTTTTAGGGGCTCAGGTTTTCTTCGATAAAAGTAGGCGGGGCTTCAAGGAATTCAAAGGTTGGGACCCCCTGCTCAGGTGTGTGTCTACAGCAGGGTGTGTGAGGCATGAAGGGACAGTGCGGGTCATGTGATTTATGTTAACGGCCCTCGCTGCTGCTGCTGCTGCTGCTTCTGCTAAAGCGGCAGCGAAATTGAAACGTGAAAAGAAAGCTGAAGTGAAACTGCAGCCCGGCTTGTTTTAGCTTCACTGGACCCGATGGCCAGTCCTCACACCACACTGTTTGTGTTTCTGACCGAGCCGGTGTGCAGGGCGTCCTCCTGTTCCATCATTTTAATGCAGCTTTTAAACAAACCTGTGATGTCAGACTGTGATTCTTCCTGCAAAGCTCCTCAGAAGAACAAGAAATCCCTCCTCTGTGAAGGATGTGAGGTGAGATCACAGTGATGCTACGTTATGTCTTTATTCTCATATCATTATAGGGAAACCTATCATAGCAACCTGCTGCTGATCCCACAGGGAGGTCAAAGGTCATGCTAGCAGTCAAAGCAACATTTTCAGGATGTTGAAAAATGATTGTGAGGCCTTGGATTCAAAATATTGCTGTTTAATGAAAAGGAAATTTAAAAAATGTAGTTTCAGTGAAGCAAAGTGTTTATTCAAACATGTTGAAATAAAGTTAAACTGCATAAATGTGACCTGCCAATTGAATGGATAGTGTGTGTGTGTGTGTGTGTGTGTCAGGGTTCAGAGGACGAAGACAGGACGTTGAAGAGGAGAGAGAAGAACAGAGTTGCAGCCCAGAAGAGCAGAAAGAGACAAACACAGAGAGCTGACCTTCTGCATGAGGTGTGTGCGTGCGTGCGTGCGTGCGTGCGCGCTCTGGTCTTTGTTCTAATGATAGACCCTGAGAGAGAACTTTTTTGTGTTCCTCACTGCGTCAAATGGATGTGTGAGGGTTAAGACCTGGTTTCAGTGTTAAAGTTACTCCGGTTATTCAGTAAAGACGATATTCGAAAGATCATTTTGTTTTAAAAGGCATTATATGTTGATTTTAAACTGTAAGTATAGGTGTATGTCTCCAGAGTCTGCAGAGCCACAGAAGTCCTTCTATAACAGCTTTATGGAAGGACTCACGACTGGTAATGTAACTGGGATGTGTTCCTCCTTAAAGCTGAGGTCGGCACCACTGGAGAAACCAGGAAGAGCAAAGAAAAGACAGTGAAAAGAAGCTCCCGGTGTGTAAAGGCCTGAGAAAGATTTATTAAAAATGATCCAAACTAAAACAAAACTCTACAAAGTAGCAGCATTCGCTCCAAAAGTCACCAAGTCTGCAACACTGACCCTTCAAAGCCACGCCCCCAAAATTCCACAAACAACCTCTTTACATCCTTCATCATTTATGCCTCTTCCTGATCTCCTCTCTCCTTTCCTTCCTCCCTTCTCTCCTCTCCTCTAGGCCTGTGAGCTGCTGGAGCAGAGGAACAGGAAGCTGAGGAGAGAGGTATAATAACAGACTACTGTACATCATATCTGTACTCAACACATCTTTACTTCAACATGTGGTTTGCATAGGACAGTAATATAATGTCTGGGTCGGCTTGTCTTCAGGTGGATTCTCTGCACGAGGAGCAGCGAATGCTCTCTGAGACTCTCGGGGCCCACGAGCGCTTCTGTCCCATCATGCACTGCTCCTTTGCCTCGTGCAGTTTGCAGCCGGACACCATGGAGGCCCGCTCGGTCTGAGGCAAAGCAGTAATGAGTCTGAAGCTGCTCATTGTGTAATGCACCAGTAGACCTGCAGAGGGCGCTGCTCGCTGTGAGGAGACCTCATAACCTCACGTGCCCTCTGGTGGTTCAACCTGCAGCAGCTCGTGTCCATAATGTAAATACAGTAATAGATTATCTGTACAGTCCTTTCACATCACTGATATTAAAGTTGTAATTGTTGAACCTCAATCTTTATTTGTGGAATTACTTCATTGTTATTGTTATTCTAGTCAGCTGTAACAAAGAACCACATTTTCACTAATCTTTCTCCCAAAAAAGTCAATAAAATAATTTAACAATGTGTTTAATTTGATACAATTAAACTGATAACAATCACTCAATCACTTTAAAGTCATTTTGAATATTATTTATCGTGTTCTAGTTTATTTTACTCAGATATTCAACAAACATGAATTCAAAACGTGCACTGGTAAAGTTAACAGTGGATCTTTTTGTTGAATAAAGTTTATTTGTTGTAGATCAATAATAAAAAAAAAATATTCACGAGTTGGAACAAAGAACATTTTCAGTCTTTATTAATTTATGTTCTATGAACATTTCTATTAGAAAGACAGCAGTAATCAGAGTAATAACGCCATGATATGATATTAATAACAAAGACACAAGTGTTCCTTACAGTGCATCCTTTATAAGAGGTCTTTATAAATGTTATATTAATGTTAGATTCTGATTGGTTGGTGGAGACAAGTGAGAAACACATTACTCTTTAATGACCTCTGAAATCCCGATGTTCCCCTTAAATCTTCACTTATTTTAAAAAGTTAGGAAGAAAACATTTCGCTCTTGTCAGCTTTTTCCAAAACTTCATTATATAATTAATACAGTGAGAGAAATATAAAAAGAAAAATGGAGATATTCCAGATGCCTTTTTGTGCGACACATTCAGTATTCTAGAACTTTGATGATAATTGTGGAAGTAAAATATGTCCAATATAAGTTTGTGGATTTGAACGCAGCACAACATCTCATCTCAGGCAGACGAGTGTTGTGGAAAACACTATTTGGTTTCGCTCGTCCCAACACCCGAGACTTCCGCAGGAAAGTGTCACTGTGGAAACTAGAGCTCGGATCAGTTTCTAACCGAGTGACCAAATGCACCACCATCACGACAACACCGGTCACCGAGCAAAGCAGGAAACACCGGGGCAGGAGGCACTCCTCAGAGTGGTTCTGAGGAATACAGTAGCAAGTCTGCACAGACGCCTTCCACTGCACACACACACACACACACACACACACATCAATATTGCCAGACTTCTGGTGAAATTCTAATTAATTTCTTGTCCATTTCTCAGAAAGAAAAACCAGGAAACATGTTTTGGTGCAATGGGGCTTTTTTAAGGCTGCGTTCAGACAGAGCTCTGAGTGAGGTGCGGCCCTGATGCCTCAGGTGCTGAGAATTAAGTTTATTTCCCAACATGACGATCCAAACGATGTTTCAAAGCCTTCCCACGGTGCCAGATATACAATTCTAGTAGAGAAAATGCTGAAGCACCTATGTATTTGATAAAATACCATAAACTGTATAAAATATGCACGTCATAGAGGTTTCTGAGGAGTGCTAGAGTGGTTGGCTCCGGCCATCGCCATCTTGGCAGAGACGGCACAGACAAACTTATTTAATCCGAAAAGGGGCTTTTTATGCTCTTTGTATGTCTCGTTGTAGTTGTTTTGTGTCAGTTTGTGGTCATTTCATGTCTCTTTGTGGTTGTTTTGCCCCTTTTTATATTCACGTTGTGTCTCTTTGCATCTCTTTGTAGTTGTTTTGGTCTTTTTATGTCATGTATATGAACAGGGATATTAGAGACCAAAACCGCTTGTTTTGCTTCATTTTTCATCTCCGGAGGTTGCTGATTGTAAAATATTACTAACGATGGAGTTTAGTTTCCTGAGTTTGCTAAAACCTACAAATGAACACAAAGAAAGGGTTTTCAAAAGTAGCTGTAAAATGCGCTTGTACCAAAGCCAAGATTGCTACGCTACATCTGATTGCACACGTCACAGTGAATGAGCCGTTAGTCTGCACAGAGCCTGTGTGAACACCCTCTGATGGGCCTCGAGGACGCAGAAAGCATAACTTCAGCTTCAGCGCTGTGCTGCCGCTGTCTTACCTCGTTACTGCTACACTGAAGCGATGAATTATCTGAAAATCTCAGATTCTAATCAATATTCAAACAGAGAAAACAGAGACACACACATTAAACACACCAGCATATACACACCTCCCACCCTCCATTCACACACACACACACACACACACACACACACACACACACTTCTACTGAATAGAATAGTCAAGTGGATTCTGAATAACTTCTCTGGAAGAATTACACAGCAGTGCCAATATCTTTCATCATGAGTCCACCGTTTATTATTAGAGTTAAAGGCTTTTATGAGCTCTGTGATGGGCGTCACATATATCCTTCTCACTAAATGATACCAATGCTTTCAGTATTGTTTTCCCTCTGGCACTCACTATGTTGTCGTGTCTGGTGTTTTGAACACTGACCAAGTCTCAAAGATTATCTCCATGGAAGTTCAAGTAGCATCTTCTCAGGAACTTACTGAATATGTTGAAAGAAAACGTCTTTACTGAATGTTGGAAGATGTTGTCTGAAATGTTTCTCTTTTGATGGATTTCAGCAGTGGTTGTATTCAGATACTTTACTAAGTCAAAGTACTGACACCACACTGTGAAAACAAGTCCTGCATTGAACATGTGTGCGTGAAACACCGCCTATTGTTCCCTGATTATGCTGCATTGTGAACAACAAATCCATGTTGAATTCGGAAGGAGCGCTAGTTAGCGTTAGCTGTTAGCAGCACAGCCCTGCTCGGCTAATAACGGAGCTAACTGCTGAAGTTAACAGAGGTTGCATTGAGTTACACTTTTGAGTTTTTAAAAGGTCTTGCTTGTTGCTTCTTTTTTTACATTCCTGTAATATTTAAAACTAATCTACTGCTTCAAATATTTAGATCTTAGTGTGATAGTTGAATGTTGTTAGCACTGGGCGCTCATTACGGCTTAATAGAGCAAACAAGATCCGTTATCCGTTAAGCCGTGTGTGGCATCATATTGTGGAATTTGCACACAAAAGGCTCATCACCACTGCACAATCTCTTTGAAAGAAAAATATAATGTTCTGACTGGAAACAGGTGCACTGTTCTCACCTGTTGCACAAGATTGAAACTTTTCCTTGTTGCATGTATGAGACAAATGAGGCAGAATTACAAACTCAAGACAACACCTTTCTATCTAACTGAGATGATCGGGTTTCCCATCAGCATCCCTTTACTGTTCAGGTTCACTTCCTTGTCCTCTTGTTGTTTTTATTGATCCTACTTTGTACTTTTTTGTTATTCCTTGTTTTCACTTATCTTGTGTCCAATTCTTCTTCCTTCTTGTATTTTCTCCTCACTGGAGATTCTATAAGACATTAGAGCCTCTTTCACTTCCTTGTGTCTTTAAAAGGCTAAATAAAGAATACTGGCGTCATCACATCATAGTCGTTAAACTCATACGTTTATTTAATCGTATAAGTGAAAAATGCATCATGCTTATGGTTTGCAAATGTTTCGTTAATCTGGTGCTTTCTATTTAGCTCAGGGTAACTTCCTTAAACAGAAGCTTTGTTCCTTGTACTCTGTTAATGTGTCAGTACGTGAGTAAGCAGTTCTGATGTGTCAGAGTGGCCCAGTCGGCTGTTTCCATGTAGATGTTTTCTTCCTTACAGTCACTGTACTCTGTACTGTGCATCTGTCTTTTTAAGGAAAGGGACAACCAGCCTCGTTTAGAAGAACAATGTACAACCTTTAAAATAGGATTGTTGAGGAGCTTAACTTTATTAGTGTATCAGATAATTCAACCTGATCTCATCACTACTCATCATATTTTGCCATTTGGGCAGAAAGCGTCACTATAATGACGGCAGCCTCTTGCGTAGCCAGCCTCTTGCGTAGCCAGCCTCTTGCGTAGCCAGCCTCTTGCGTAGCCAGCCTCTTGCGTCTGAAGGGTGGTGGTTAACATTGCGAAACGTTCCCGGTTAACGCGTAACATGTGGTTCATGCTGTGAAGGCATCGAAACTACAAAGTCAGGGTTAGAAAAAAACCCATCATGCTTTAGCTTTAAATAAGTGTGAATTAAATTCAATGTAAGCTTCGGATGTGGCGTCACATTACTTAATCCTGTGGTCACGTGACGTAACGCGACGTGTCCTCATACAACGGCTCGTATGATATCTGACGAAAAAGTTATTTCTTATTTTTGTGCGTTGAAACTTAGTTTGATTTAGGAAAAAAAACTTCTTGGTTACATTTAAGAATAAGTTGTGAAATACTTAGTTAGGTTTAGGAAAAGATGGTGGTTTGGGTTGACTTCTCGTTTCACATCTAGTCTCCTGGGCTAAAGACCGTTTTTGCTTTAACCCATTCACCTCCAATGCCACTTAGCACTTTGCACTTAGGAACGCTGTATGAGAACAGGCTGCATAACATCACCAGTGAAGATCACACGGGACAAAATAATGAGGTCCCCTGACTGTGTACTTCTACCTCTTAATACTACTTGTGTTGCCCGAGGTCTAGTTATGACACAGATGGGTTTACATTGAAAGTCCAGTGTGCCTCATACAGACGATGAAGGGTGCATTGTGGGAGTGAAACCAGGCTGGATCATTTGTGACATTTACTGTAAAATAATCAAATATTTCTGATTGGAACCAGCCTATATACTGCAGCAGCATAAAAGAATACTTGAAATTCGGTTATCTGGTAATGCAAATGTGCTTGTGTATTCAGCTGTGATCTTTGACCCACCACACAAGATGTTTCCGGTCAAAGATTATGACACGGCTGTTGCATCAGTGACCTCGCCTCCACTTGTGACTGAGTTACATCAGTTTATTTCCCTCCTTGACAAAGCCTCTTCCCTCTCCCGTGTGTGTGTGTGTGTGTGTGTGTGTGTGTGTGTTTGTACTTTGGCACCATATTGGCCAACATCCCGTGTGGGAATAACAG